AGGTATAATTTATATATATATATATTAAAGATTAAAGAAGAAACCATTATGTATGATGTGACATCTTCTAAAAGTTAAGAGTTTATTTATTTTTATTTTTTTATCTTTTTAAATACTAATTAATTTAAAGACTATTATGCCTCTATAAGCAAATTAGATGTTTCATAATAAATGAGTTCATTTGGTAATTTTGCATCCAACTAAATTTAAACCTCTCAAACTATTCAACTTTTTGACAAGTATTTAATTTAAATTTAACCTCTTAGACTATTCAACTTCTTGATAAACACTCATTTTGTTCTTTATTGCAATTGATTTACCTTCTCCAACTTTTTATCTTTTTATTTCTCAATCTCTTCCTCTTGATTTAGTTTTGGCATGATTATGTTCTTAGTACGGTGAAATTTTGTCGAGAATGGTAATTTTATATCTTCGTGTCTTTTTCTATCGGTTGTTATAATTTTGGTTCCTATATCCGTTCCTACACACGAATACAAACAGTTTGATTAAATGTCCGAGTGTTTTTTTGGTTTGAATTCATATCAACAACATTCTCTATCTTAAAGAAGATAAATATCCAAAAATCCCTCCTTTATGTTTTCCACAACTGCGCTCATCAGGTGAAGTTTCTATTACTCTGTTATGTTACCATACACATACCTAAGCAAATTGTAACCTTTTTTTGTGTTTTAAAATTTGTAAATTTTTGTAACTTAAAATAAATTCTTTGAAACCCAAAACGGGTTTTATTAGGATTTGCAAAAGTGTTGATCAAGTGTTTACAAAGTTTTCACAAAGTAGTTCACTTTGTAAGCTCAAAGAGTTTTTTTACAACAAACTCGTTCAAGAATATGGTCATAAAAGGATTGCCAAAAAAAATTCAATATTGACTTTTGTAAAGAAAATGTTAAACTAAGAAAGTGCAAATTAAATAAAAATAAAAGTTTTTAATATATTAAATATTGTATAAATAATAGTTATTATAAATAAAATATAATATAGAAAATGAAAGGGTTAATCATTCAATGAACACTTTTCAATTTAAACTAAACAAAAATTATGAAAAATTAGGTGAACTGTTTTGTTCTATAGTTGAAGACTTGAAGTACATTGCTTTCATATGATTTAACTTTTTTTATTTAAAAGGGAGATTGGCGTTGTACAAAATATATGTGTTGTTTGTATTATATACATATATGTTCTTATATAAGGTTATGATCAAGTTAAGTTCCTATATGAAACAAGTTTGAGGTTTCAAAGAACGACCTTCATCTCTACTTGTTACAACTTCAGCAACATTTATAAGAATAAGGGCATTGTCTATTCTAGAATTTGTATATATATATATATATATATATATATATAAATTTCAAGAATTGATTTATTTGTTTGATAAATTGAGAAAAATAATGTTCAACTACACTCAAATTTCATTGTTAAAAATACCATATAAAACTTTGCGACGTGTTCCAAGTTTATGAAAATAAACAATTAAAATAATTTGTACATTTTTTTCAACACGAATTTTGGTCATCGTGCAACGCATGATACCGGTTAAAGAAGAAACCAAGAGTGTTTGAAGTGACATCTCCTAAAGCTTAGAATACCATTTTTTTTTTCTTCATTCTCTCAATATCCATTACTACATTTTTTTTTGTCAATTTATGTGTTTTTGTTAAATATTTGTATTCAACTCCAAACCATTCATCTCTATTTATATTAATTCAAATGACATAACTCCAAACTATTTATCTTTTCCAATCAATCATTTATATATATATATATAGGGGTGGGTTCAATTAAAAACCACTCAATTTGTAAAAACCGTGAAAACCTCATTCAACTAATCATAATTTTTCATTTTGTTCATTTTTTTTTGTAAGTATGAGAGGTTGATTAACCATTTTTATTGTAGAGGGTGTTAATCATAGATATTATCATCTTCATTATTTTAATTTTAGAGAAATACATGAAACAGTTT